TGTGTTTGTCCATTTACCTTGACTATAGTTGAGGCTATGATCTATCCTCTCTATGTCCATTCTCCTGCTTCCGATTTGCGTACGTGATAATATCTGAAAATACTTTGTGACCCAAAAATGTTTATAGTTTCACTTCCGACGAAGACTACGACGATATTTATTGCTAAATATTGCAATTACAATGTAAAAAGATTCAATTTAAATATAATTGGGGCATGGATGATGACACACACAAAGACCAAGACAAATCACTTCTGTGCAGCTGCTGCAGCTGTTTGTCCAGTTGCTGCTGTCCATCACCGAAATGCCTGGCTGGCTAGCTCTTCTCTTCATGTTGCATCTCCTTATTCCTCTTTTGTGTGTGCAAGGAAATATGACAACAAATTTGTCACAGACACAGTCATACATCCATACATACATACCACACACATACACAAATGCACAGACGAAAGACATGACTCGTTTCCCTTTGCAATTGCTGACCATTTTCCAAATCTGTGAAGTGAAATGGAATGAAATGTAATTGCAAAGACTTCTTCGTCGGTCACTGAGCCATGACTGATAGTGGGGCGGAGCGGTAGCTACAGCGGCAGCAGAGCCAGACGGGAATTGTAGTGCTCTCAAACAAAAGGGAACTTTATTATGGAAAGACAATCAAAGGATTTCGGTGATTCGAAATATGTCCCTGAACAACAGTTGCTGGCTGCAACGGCTCTTGCCTGCCGTCGCATGCCCCACCAATTGATCGACTGACCGACCGACGGACAAGCATTACGCTTGCAACACCACCAGCACCACAAAACGAAAACAAAAAATTGGCAAAACACAGGGCGCAGAGCAGAGCAGAGCAACCAGCCAACCGGCCAACCAACTAACCAATACGTAGTTAGTTGCCACTGCAGTCAGTGGCTACGATTGACTATGGCGAAGCGGCCACAACTTACAATATCCATTTTATTCGCATTTCATCCGCCTTTCTCCCCATTGCGTTGTGTTAACCCTAGCCCCTGTCCAGATTGCAACATCTCATCTCATCAATATTGTGTAATTTGGTTTCTTTTTGCTCCTCGTCATTCAGTACAGACGAGGAGAAAGAAGAAAAAAGAAAAACACAAAATACAAAAAAAAAAAAAAAAAAAAAAAAAAAAAAACAAACAAAAATTTTCGATTAATAAAGTTAACCACTTGCTGCGTACAGTGAAGAGATACGAATTGAACAAAGATGATGGCTTTTTGTTGTTGTTACTGGTCCGTTGGTTGGTTAGTGAATGCAAACATATATACATATGTATGGCTGTGTGTGGTTTGGCCATCAGTCGGTCAGCCAGTTTTACTGTTCTATATTGGCTGCTTGATGTGCTGACTATTGTCCTTGTAATCTCAGTTGCTGCCTCTGTTGCCCAAAAAAAAGAGCTCTGCAACGCCACAAAGAGGCAATGCCACCCTGGTAAATCTTAATACATACATATGTGATGCATTTTTTTTATAGAAAAACTAGTTGTACACACTCGTACACATACATGCACGTTACACATGCATATGTTATGTGCATGTGCGTGCAAAAAGTGATGTGGAGAGGGAAAATTGTTATTTATGAATTCAAGTTTTGGAAAATTGGATTGAAAGCTGGTCTTTATAAAAATCTGAAACTGTTTGTATTGGTTTCATAAGTATTTTAATTACTTTGTGTTAAATGCATCACTCGTTTTTTGTGGCGAAAAATGTGAAAATCGAAAAAAATGAAATCACGATTTAAAAAATTCCAAACATATTTTGTGGCCCATACACTAGATTGCTTTTGCTGTTAAGCAAATTAACAATATTTCTTTAATCTGAACCAAAAAAGGGAAAGGAAATAGTTGGATATGTCCGTATGCCAATACGTTTGTGGCAAAATAACCGGGTTGGTAACTTAACATGGACCAACACTTTTGTAATTGTAGATTGAAATGAATCTATTCTCATAAAAATACCTAAATGCCTCCTTGAAATACCTATAAATGGATAGAACTGCTTGATGAGTGCCCGCCCTTACATACACGTAAACCAATTTATGCCCCCACTGTGACCAAAATGTGCTTCATAAAAATAATAGATCCGAGGAATGGACAATATTGGTTCACTAATTCATGAACCTCCCGTAAAAAAGTGGTAAAAATTTGACAAATTATAACTCGTTCACATTCCAATATTTTCGGCTATAGTGGAGCTAGCGCGAAAATTGAAAATATAGGTCCAATGATAATGGAACATAACGGTCTGCCACAAAACTTTAAAAAATTTCTAGTTAAAACTTGTTCCGCGGTAAGATTAGTTAGATTTTGCATATAACAAATAATTATAAAAATCAGTGAAGTTCAAAAAAGTAATAATGACAACTTTAAAAAAAATCGAATTTATGCACCACTTTTTTTCCAACTTCACACATTGCCATATTTTTACTAACACTAGATCTACTGAAAATTTGGGACATTTTGGTCCAATATATTATTTCGTTCCACTAGAAAGGGTAACATAAATGGTCAAATGCTGAGGGCCACCCAATGAATCGTTCTAACTGGTTATGTAACACTCAGTCAGGAGCGAATCTCCCTGAAAACATAAAATTTTCAGTTAAATGCTGAGGTATATGTATTTAGGAACACCGACTGATATTTGAATTTGTGAACAAATTCGTTGGAAAACAGGATCAAACCCTTCAAAGTTGCTAAAATCGAGCGAAGTCGTCTTGGGGGTGCCATACCCAAACATGAACCCATTTCGAAACTAAAATGATTGCGAAAAAAAGAAATAAAAAATGGTCTGTCCTAACTTGTAATGTATTACGAATTTGCTGTTCTATTAATAGGGGTTATGTAAAAACGTGGACCTCAATGGACAATTACACTATGCAACACTTCCAAATTTTTTTTCTAATCTTCGAGCTAATATTTCTTATATCGTAGGTAAAAACACGAGAATTATTTTGGTCGAAAATTCTAAGCCTCAGGAGAGTCAACAAATAAGTCGTTTTGGTCCATTTTTGAAAATATGATTGGAAACTCCCTTTCGTCGCAATTTTAACAAGTCAAAATATTCAACAAATATAGAAATTAGTATTTGTTTTAATGGGTGATCGGCCGGTATCTCTCGAACAAAATATTCAATTTTGCCTTCTAATGCGTCAGTTGAAGCGGGTCTGTTTGTATAGACATGAACTGTAATATAGCCCCACCAAAATTGTCTAAAGGTGTTAAATCGCACGATGTAAGCGATGTCCGATACCAGAATAAACTGTTCGGCCGGGTCCAACACCATTTGGAACGAATTTCTGTTACAATCTTATAAATACCGAATGTAGCCGTTATATTAGGGTCTATACGACGACGTGGACCTGCATAGATAACTTTTGTCATAAGCCATTACAATATTCAAATACGAATAAATATCGATGAACAATGTAGTTAAAATAATCAAAATAACGAATATAGGGAGGTACCATTATATGGGGCAATACCAAACCGTGGACCTGCACAGACATTTTTCTGCCATGGGCTGTAGTATCTATTACGAACTTCAAATACCAAATTTTAAACAATTCCGGTGAATAATGTCGCTAAAATCATCAAAATACCGAAAATAGGAAGGTACCATATATACCAAAAGTCCTGCGGACATATATTTGAGTAACATTTTAACAAGATACTTCATTTCATTCGGAAGCTAGAGTGATTTCACAGACGGATAGGCGGATAGACGGACGGACCATCTTAAATCGACATAGAATTGTACGCTGACTTTGTGGCGTCTAAAATGTATATTTCGAGGTGTTACAAACGGAATCACAAAGTTAATGTACCCTTCCATACTATGGTGAGGGCACAAAATCCTACCATCGACATGGACACCAATAGATAAAAAGCTTCATCCGTTCACCCTAAACCAAATTGTTCGCACGCTTAGTACACATTTCGTAAACCACCTTCATAAATCAAACTTACTTTCCTACATTGGTTTTCGTACCAAATTTTCGAATTTTCAAAAAAAAACCTTTGTAGTGTTTTATATCTTTCCCATTCACTTCCACCATCCGTCGTAGACAAATTTGATAATCGACCCTCATACCCATACTTGCCGGATAATATCTTGTGTAAAGATAAATGTGCCGTTCATTGATTATTGTGGGTATTTGTTTTGTTTGAACTGCAAGTTCGTGCGTGATTTCCAGTTCACCATGCCATTTATTGTTAAAGGACTGATTCCCCGCCAAAAAAAAAGAAGTGCCAGCTGATCTGTTCACGGAGCCCTTAACATGAGCTAGTGTTGGTCGGTTGGTCTAGTTGGCTGACCTAGCGTTGCGTTGCGTTGCATTGTATTCATTTGTTGTTCGCCCGGTTCGTTATTGCATTGTGCATTGGCATTTGTGCAGCGCTGTGTAAATTTCTTTGTTATTGCCAATGTTTATTTGGTTTCTTCCCATCTCACACTGCCTTGTTCTCTCTGCTTTCTGCCCTTGTTTCGTTTGTGTGCTCCTTTTTTTGTGTGGCGGAAACGGAAGCATGCAATTTGTGTTGTAATATAAAGTAAGACAACAACAATAGCAACACCATCTCCAACACCAACAAAACGAAGCAAACAAACAAAACGAAAACAGAAATTAAAGGACAATACCAAGCGGAAGTTTATTTAATCGATGACATAAATGTATACACGGTCAAAGGATAAGTTAAGTCCATGTGTCCTTCGCCATAATACACTTTTGTACGGCGGCCATTTCGATTATTGGTCGAATTTTTCTTTTTTCGCAAGTCATAATTCATAAAAAATGAAATTTATTTTTCGTTGGTCGATGGTGACTCCGCTACTCAGGGCAGCTGTCGAAGAGAATTAATTTTTATTGAACCATCGAATCTTTTGTTGTCCTGCCTCGTGCCACGGTCTTATCTGATTGCAGCGACATTATCATTTCCAGTAAATACTCATTTATTCTCTTATTCTTTTTTTATTCACTTCATTTACAGATTCCCGTCCTTGGCTCAACAACGCTGCAGAAGTGCTCCAGTAAGCCATTCAATACGTCATCGGCCTTCATGGTTAAATTATTGTCAAATATTGGCTTAATTGTTGTTGCCATTGTGATTCTGGCCGCTACTGTTTGGTGTAAGTATTGAAATGAACATTGTAATTTGTAGAAAAATATATAAATGGGGCAAGTTTCACGATTAATCGAACTCAAATGTTTATTAATATTTGTAAGTCGCTGTCGAACGCGAACTTTTATACTTTATTACAACTCATTATATATACGGCGATAATTCTTACAAATCATCTTGGGGTATGTATATACAGAAAAATACACATACATAGATATACAACAATTGTATGAAAAAAAAACAAAAGAAGGGGACTCGGCAAGAGTAGAATCTACTGAATTTCGAACGAACTTTGCTCCTAAACAAAAACGAGGAAAATATGCTCACTCATATTCAAATGACATCGAAAAATTCAGTTTGCTCGATTTCTTCCGCACTCGCTCGAATTCGAGTGTTTTTGTACAGATTCGAGTGAGTTTGTCGGAGGTCGGTATCAAAGTATTGAAAAGTCGATAAGGCTACACGATATTGCTTATTTTGGTAGCGTTTGGGCATTTTTATTAAAAATAAAAACTTCAAATTTTGTGATTTTTGTAAGTCTTTAGCCCTTTTAGTCGCCTGAATGGATATAAAGACGTTAATACTCTAACTAGTCTTTTCCATTCCCACACAGGTCTCACACACTTACGCAACTTCAACAACTACAATGTGAAACGAGTTTTTTTGGTGGAAACTGACAGATTTCTCCGTGATTCTAACTTCAGAGTTATAAAACAGCTCTAAGACCACTGTATAATTTTTTTAATAATCGATATTTTGATATCAGAGCTCTGGTTCTTCCCGAAAAAACATAACATATGTTTAATATTTAATAATTGTTTACTACTTTTTGTAACCTTTTAGGACTAAGTTTAAAACCCCCTTTCTGTACATCAAAGAACAGAGTTTCAGCTCCTCCCTGTAGCTCAAGGCCGATGGTACAAAATTTACTACCTTTAAGTACGAAAATATTTGTCGTATACGATTTTGTCCATTGCAGCGTAAACTATATGAAAAAATCAAGAGTTCTTATTCTTTGTAGTGAGCCTAAACGAATAGCACAGTATTTAGTACCCTTTTTCCGTTTTGTACTATTTCTGTGCGAATTTTCACAATCTTATTCGGTATACCATTTATGAAATGACATCGCTTACGATCCTCGTTTTAATTTTCAACATTTATTTAATTTAGCGTACAATATTAAGTACGCTTTTGTACTTTTCGTAGCCGTTGAATTCGAAATGCCAATATCGCTTTCGTGCAACTTTTTTTTACCATGGACAAACGCGGACACAAAAACTCAGAAATTCAGCTTTTTGTGCCTCTTTTGTACCTCTTCAAACTTTTTGTGTCCTTTTGAAACGTATTTCCAAAATATTTTCTATTATTTTTTTTAACATAGCCAAATCTATTTAGAATATTTCAGGCATTTTGCTTTTCGTGGCCGCTTCGTACTATTTAGTATATTTTACTAATTTTTGTACACTTGTATCCTAACAAGTTCCTGATTATCACAGACACACAAAGTCAAACTCAGACATGTTGATCTTTCCGATCGTTCTACACAATTTGTAATATATTTAATACTTTTCAGAACTTTTCGTACACTTTTAGTACAGGTATATTTGATTTGAGAAAACTATAAAAAATCAGAGCTTTAGCAGCTCCCAGTACGAAGCTTTAGTACAAATTTTCAAAAAAAAGTCTTATTTCTCACGTCCGTCCCAAGGTTTCCCCATCATAGTTTCAATATTCTAGTTTCAGCCGATTCAATCAGTGAATCAGCCAAGCATAGGTTAACAATTATGTAATCTTGATAACATCAACGCCCAGAAGAAATGGTTGAAATTTGGTTTGTAGATAGATATTGGTTGTTGTTGTATTGGTAGGTAAGTGGACTGTAGGCGGGATTTTGAAAATTACAAACTCCAAATGTCCTATGTAGGTCCCTATTCATATTTTTCGTATTAAAAGTACTAGAAATTGGGCTTCTGAGTTAAAATTCCAAATATTAAAAGTTAGATAAAAATTAAATAAGTTTTCTTTTGTTTAATTTGTACTAAAGATGTACTAAAGAGCACACGTATTTCATACTTTAGGACTGATTGAGAAGAACTAAATTGTTAAATTTAACTGCAGTGAAACGTTTTTAGTATTTATTAGAGCTAAATACTGAAATGTCCTAAAATGTGTCCTGGAGTAAAAATTCTGTAACTTATCAAATATGATTCCTGCAAAAGATGGCATATAGGTGGAATTTTCAGTAGTTAATACCAAATGGTACTGCTACTGTGCTGTTGGAGCAATAATTCTGAAATTTGAAATGTAAATTTGACTGGGGATGTTAGCATAACTTTCGAAATATAATTTGTAATTCCTGAATTTTGGGTAGTAACAAATTACTTTACTATTCTCACAATCTAGATTTCTAAAATGTATTTTTTTGTACCAAATGTATACGTTCTTAAATGGAAATGGATAGATCTTTATTGTAAGGGAAACATTATTTGGTAGAGTATACACAGATGATATGAAGGATTGTTAAAAGGCGTGATTTTATTTTAAAATATTACTTTACGGGTTCTAGAAGTACTAAATGCTACCACACTGTTATTATGCGATCGGTAGACCGTAGAACTTTGAGTGTCACTCTTTATGTCGACGATCGAAATGGGACGTAATTTTTACAAACTCCCATTATAAAGCTATGAACGTTTCAATGGGTCGATTGAATTAGAAATTCCAACATTTGGCATTGTAGAATTTCTGGGTTATTGGATATATGGTTATTTGATTTTTATAGAAATCAACAAAAAAGTACAGTTACCTTTTATATATAATCTGAAATTCGGTGTGGGATGGCTTTTAATATTGAGGGTCGAAGTAAAGATTTTGTTTCTAAAACGTACACCATAAGTGTACAAAAAGTATCTTGAACATGACAGAGGATATAAAGCTAAAAACGTATGTACTTTGATTTCAATTAAAGTACTATATTCCTAAAATTATTATTTTTATTTTTGTTTACTATAGATACAAAATTACTAAATAATGTGTTAAGGTGGTGCGAACTTTTAAATTCGTCATTGGAAAATGTTTTTAGAAATCCAAAATAACTGTTATAAGATGACGAATAAAATGTACTTAATTTAGAACTCTTTAAACCCAATTGTGCAGAGAACATCCAGAATATGTTCCATATAATCAAAAATTATGAAAGAAAATGAATGGTTGCTGTTGATAGTTTGTTAAAAATATATAATTTACTAAAATTGAGACTTCTGTCTGATTTCATGTTAGTGATCCATCAAAGGTATTCTGTTGATACGGCTTCAACTTAATTCAGGTTGAAGTATAGCTTCCATATATATTTTACCCTTATTCCGGATTTGCAATAATAAACCAAAAGCGGTACATGGTGATACTGAACCCAACCTTTGCACTTGTATATCACCTTTCCTGAATTGACCTTGAAATTAAAATTAATAAATTCATGCTCTTCTGAATAAGAATTTCACAGTGAATTAAAACTTCTGTGCCTAATATTAACACACACATATTAATATTTATTAAACGATTTATCTGGGCTCAAACTTATTTGGAGGCTACAAAAATGTCGGAGACTTTTTATTTTTTTTCCTTCAAACATATTCTGCTAATTTCTCCTCCGGCTCAAAAATTGATATTCAAATTCATATTTATTTTTCATTTCGACGAAATAATATTGAAGTGGAATGTTTTCGTTACTTATCTCGCTGGCATAAACCTTGCCAGAGATTACCGAGTGGAAGACACTTCATCTTTTTAGTTTGCACAGTGTGGATGATGTGTGGGTCCGGATATGGCTTCATAAGCGATTCCATTAACTTTTATCAATTTACGTATCATTCCATCCTGCATTTGAGGTTTTATTTTTGTTTTGCCCTGTTGCTTTGCATATGAACCGAAGATAACTTTTTTTCTCTCTCCCTCTCCTACCTCTGCTTCTCTGTTCTGCTTGCTCGGCATGGTGGAAGAAGGGATTAAACAAACATCCGGAGTATTTGAATATCAGGTGAAGTGTTTATTTTGTAACAAAATTTGATAAAGGTCTTCTTTTGGTTTGTCTTGTAATCGAAAAACAAACCACCTCATAGTGGAAAGTTGGATGCTGAGGGTTTTCGAATGGAAAAACTTTTAAAATATTCAAATGTTATTGCTTTTGCTGTTGTTGTTGTATATCGATAAGTATGATTTGCGATATGGGTAGAACATTCGTTAGCAACGACTATGTGAATTCGTTGGAAATAAAAAAAAACTTGGAACGAAAGAACTACTAGGAGTTTGTTCTTTGTTTTAAAGAAGAAACTTTAGTTAACACTTGAATGGGTAAAAAATTTAATATTGAAATAAAAAGTTAAACAAAAATTATAGGGAGAACTAAAAAATTAAGCATAGTTTTTTCTTAAAGAAAATAAATTGGATTTTTGTTTTACATTTGTGCCATATGACCTTTTTGGCGTTATACGCGTGGTTTACGTTATTGTAGTCTAAGTTGGGTGTAATTATTTCAATCGGAACTACATAATTGTTCCCCGCGAAAAGATATAAGAATAGGATTCCAGATTTGCAAAGTTCAATATTAAATACTGAAATTTTTATTAGGGACACATGACAAAGAAATATAGCTACAATTATAAACCTTGTTATACAGAACAAATACTTTCTAAATTTTGTACCTTTTCTTGGTAACTGGACTTCGGACTTAAAGCTCGAAAAGAGCAGGATGTATGGCAATTCGATATAAAACAGTTTTTAAAATATGTTTTGTTTAACAAAAGTAGAATTATTCTCAGAAACAGGATTTCTAAAATTTTACTTTTTGGTATCATTCTGTATACGTATTTGGAATTAAGAGATCATTATTGTAATAATGGCAGTTTTGAGGAAACGTCATTCGAAAAAGTGTACACATTTGTTGGGAAAAGGGGTGCGAGAAAGCCTGATTTTTGATAATTTCTACTTCAAGGATTCTAAAAGTACAACACT